GCCGGCAATACTTTGCCTCAGGATCAAATGGACTATGCAGTTACAGAGCGGGAAGTGGTTGATGTAAAAAACAGCTGGTCCAGTTCCAAAGGCATGCCACCTGACCTCCTGCCGTGTGCAATCTTTCAGGCCAACTCGCCCGGTTGGAACTTAACAGTCTGGAGCTTGCAACGTTGGGCTGGGCCAGGAGGCCGCACACCGTCCTAGTCTATGGCGCAAGGCTGCCCTGTGCCCTGTGCACAAAAGTGGTCCTGCAAACCTTGCTGCGAGCTTTCGCTTGATCTTCGTGAAAGTCCAAATGGGCCTCCTTCAAGAAGCACTTCTCACCCAGCGTTGGCTGACCAGAACGCGCGCCCACATTCAACCATGCCAAAGCGGCTATGTTCGGGGAGTAGAGGATGCACGTCTTCTGCTACATGAGGTCTCAGCCGAAGCGATTTACCAACAACGAGCACTGTGGACGGTACTGGGCGATTTTCGCAAGGCATTTCCCAGCGTCTGCAGAGAGGATCTTGTTTGTACTTTAGCAGACGGCCCGCATGTCAATGGACAGTGCTTAAAGCTCCTGGCCGACATCCTGCGGCACGATACCGTGGTCATTTGGCATAGTGGATACAGCGAGGCCACTGTAAGTCAAGGCATTCCTGAAGGCGGCACGCTGGGGCCATTTGGGTACCCAGTTCTGCTGGACACCTTGGTCCGCGAACTGCTTGCACATAACTGTGGGTTAGGTGTGGGTTGGGCCATTCCAGATGTTTGGAAAGGGCGGCTTTGGTCTGGCTTAGGTCAGCCTGACCCTGCCTTGGTTGCACTCCTTATGTCTGCCTTGCGCTCTGCCTCCCCTAATGCCCTCCTTCCCTCCGCCAAGCTACTTGACGAAAATAATCCGAACCTGGAAGCTTCCGCCCTGCAAGCACTCAATGATGTGGCTCTGCTACGGATTGCAGCAATCCTCCATGCCGATGATCCCGTGCTGCTTGGTTGTTGCAGATGGTCCCTGCAGAAAAGCCTAGACATTCTTGCAAACTGGGCCTTCAAGCATAAAGCTTCTTTCCATGTCACTGAAAAGAAAACTGTTGCCATGGTCACACCCAGCCCTGCAGGCAGCTCAAGTTGCTCTCTCCCCCCGGCTCCTATCCTCAAAGGAATTGCGGGTCAGGAGGATCGTGCCTTGGTTTTTAAGACTGGCCATAAATGGCTGGGCTTGTACTGGTCTGCCAGTCTGGACCTTTCCGTAGCTTTGCGCACCAGGCTCGCCATAGCACAGAAGGCCTTCGCACTACTTGCAGGGTTGGCCCAACGTGACGCCCTGCCGCTTCACCTGGTCTCTTCAATTTTTTGGAGTAAAGTTTTTCCATCGTTGTGTGTTGGCTCGTGGAGAGAACATTTTGGATTCCACTCTTAAGTCCTGGGCAAAGCAGCTTCTTGGAGCCAGCGAATGGCAGAATGCGGCAACAGCCTTATCGGAGTTGGGGTGGGATTCTTCAGGGTTTTTTATTGTGGTTTCACATGTGGCCCTGCGTAGAGCTAAGCTTTGGTCCATGCCGGCGGAAGACCTCTACGCTTGCGTCTTCCGCTGCTCGCATGCTTGGCCAACTTCTTGGGCGCATCAAAGTCAGGCCCTGCTCAAGGCATACGACATCTTGGATTTCCCCAGCTGGACGTCTCATGAAAAGACCCTGGAGAGGTATCAGCTGTACGTAAGAAGCCGCTGCAGAGAGCTTAGTTTGCCGGCATGGACGGCCGAGGCTGGAAAATCCACCAAGGTGCCCCCGTACTTGAGCTTCCAGCCCTGTCACAGCGCATTGCTCCAACTTGTGTCCTCCCTACCTCTTTGTTGGGAAGACCGGCAATCAATCAGATCTTTGTGTCGGTTACGCGCAGGGTTTCCCCGTGTCACTCATCGAGATGGTAAGCTCAGCCGGGCGCGACTGCAACAATGCATTCTTTGCAATAAGGCAGTTCGGTCTGGCGTGCCACACCTCTTCAGTGAGTGCGCGGTACTGCGGCATTGGCATCACCTCTTGTCGGATTTGAAGCCGCAACAAGAGCCTGCATCTGCTGCGGAGATTGCCAGGGCTATCCTGTCTTGCCCTCCCAGGTCACGATTCTTCATGTTCTAAGGATGGCCGCAGACATCGACAAGAGGGTCCAGCGCTTCTGGTGTGACGAAGCCTCTGGGTGAACAAAAAGAGGTGAAGCCGCAGTTGGCGACAGAGAGATTGCTTCCAAGCTTGTCAGGGCTTGTTTAGCTTTTCTTTGTGGCGGGGCCACTGCGTTGCAAATTTTCCGGGTGACTTGCCCCGAGTCACACTACCCACAGCCACTTATCAGGCTGAGGATGAGTCTACACACACACACACTGTGCCTCCTCCCTGCATCGGGGGGTGAGCCTTCCCAAGTGAGCCTTGAGGGGCGGACTTGGGGGGTTCGCTCCAGCGGTGCTTGAGTCTCCCACCGCCACATTGTGCTCAAGGACCCGTCCGAGGCAGCCCCCTGCGTTAAGTTGTAAGTCCTCGGAGGTGCATGCCTTTGCCCGCGTCTTCAGCAAGTCCCCTTGAACCCGGCCCCCATGGAGTGGGGAGGGCGGGTAGTAGGGGGCACACATGCTCCCTCATTGCGGAACTGGGGAAGATCACGCAGCCAAGGGGTACATCGTGAACACGTTCGAGGGCGACGGAGGCAAGACGCCGTTCTTCCACAACCCCCGGCTCTACCGCGCGGAGACGTCGACACCAAAGAAGTACGTTGGCAGGCTGAAGGCCGTGAGGAAGGGCTCGTGAGAATGGCAGGAAGGCCGCGCATGCCGACCAGCTTGGATGGACCAGGGGTGTCATACGAAGGGCACTGAGGTGAGCAAAGGCTTAGCAAGGGAGAATTTCGTAGGGAGACGCACAACTGAGTGGGCAATACTACCGCATGAGCTGAGTTGTTACCCATGGGCCGAAAGGCCTCCCCAAGATAGACGACCGTAGCATTTCGCCCTAACCGTGGCACCAATCCCCGATTCTTTTCCAAACGCTCCGACGACAGGGGTTACCAGGAAATGCTGGTGAATTCAGGGGGAAAGAGGTTGCAATTAGACCAGGTCCTTCCGTGAAGTCCTTTACTTTGGCCCTCTGTGTCTACAGTTGCGCGAGGGCTTGCACGTTTTTCCTCGAAACCCCAGCAAAGGACTGCCAAAGCTTGTGCATGTTCCGGCCAGTGCAGTATTCACACGGTTGTTTCCAGGGACAGTGCAGAAGAGCTTGGTACTAGGTGTTGCAAGTAGCTCTTGATGGTGTGTGTTGTGAGCACAGTCCTAAACCACGAAAGTTGTGGTTGCAGCACAAGCTGCGAGGGGGAGCGCCAGATCCCGTGTCAGCCTCAGTGCGGATGAGGCGGGGGGTTTAGAGTTCTATTTATGATGGGGTTTTGCCGGAAAAAGCCTCCGCCTCATCGTGTTACCGACCTTGAGACCCGGACATCCAGGGCGCGTGTGCGTGCGGGGGACGGGGGGAACTCCGTTCTCTTGTCTGTGTGGAAGCGAAGAGAAAGAGTTGCCCGAACTGCCCCCAAAACCCCACAAGCATTGGGGGGCCCTTAGGGCCGAGGGGACTCGCAACCCCTTCAAGCCCGAAGGAAGAAGAGAAAGATTTAGTTTGTGTGCCGGGAGAGAGAGACAGAGAGAGAGTATTTCTCTGGGGCCGTTCCAGTTGCTGCCGACGCCTCCAAAGCCCCACGTGAGTTGGGGGGCCCTAAGGGCCGGGGGGACGACTAACATGCCCCTCTTACCCGAAGGAAGAAGAGAGAGAAATAATTTGTGTAAAGGGTCGGGGGCTTGCAACATGAGGCACACCACAGGCTTAGTACTCTACTGCAACAGTCAGCGGGGGCCGCAAAGCAATCCACTCAATAGTACATTGGGTGGTTGGGCGGGCATGGCCTGAGGGTTCGACCCCTAAGCCCAGACGAAAGAAAGAAACAAAGAAAGATAATTTGTGTGTTCACGTGTGGGTGTTGTGTGTGTGTGTAGCATGTAGCTAGCTACTTATACCTGTAGCTAGCTAGCTGGCTGGCAGGTAGGTAGGCAGGCAACACGCTTGGAAACTCGGCGAAACTGAACACCCTGCAGTTCTTCCGATTGATCTTGCAAGGGAAGCAATCTTCTCAGAATGATATGATATGATATGATATGCAGAGTGAGCCCAATGCTTCGAAGCGTCTAGGTACAACAATGTGTGATTCCACTGGTGGCACGGTGAGTGGCCGAGATTGTATTGATTTGTTTAGGGCAGTGGAGGCTGGGGTGTTTCGAGTTTGGCGCGGGTCGCACCTCGGATCTCATTGCCTCGTGCGCCGGAGGCGTCAATCTGCTGGACCGTCGCTTCGCCCATGGTTTGTGTAGACACGATGGCCGTCTCTGGGAGCCTATCGGCCTCGGTACCTCAGCTGTAACATGCAGTCGGTAGAGTACTGACGGTTCTGTGGTGCTGACTCCGAGGCACAGTTGAAGCTGGTCGCGGCTGACAGTACCGTGTCCAGTGACCCGACGTCGCTCATAGACGCTTGTCATCCGCGCAGAAGGCGCTACACTTACTCTCAGCCGTCTTCTGACGCCCACTTGCCTGCTGCTTGCCGTCTGATGCGTTATGCGGCATCTTCAAGAATGGCTCACACGTTGAAGCTGATACTACTTTTAGCATACTTCACGATTCCGGATGCTTGATGGTGGCGTTGCTGCTCAATCCTGGATGTAGGAACTGCTTTCGAAAAAACTGGGCAGTCTCTGATCGTGTGTAGATTGAGTGTGTTACACTGAGTGGCCAAAGGCCAAAGGAGACGATGGCTTCAAGTTGCTGTTTCTCCCTCAAATTTAAGGACACGACTGGATACTACAGCTGCTCTGGTGAGGAGGTCGAAGTCAAGGAACTCTGACGCAAAAGGTTTGTCAGGTATTTTGGCATGTTTTTGCTGCTGGCAATGTTAATATCGCGTCTTGGCAGGCCGACAGTGGGTCAGTATCTGCATGCTTATCCAGATGGTTACCGCCATCCTTCTTTCTGCCACTCCTCGGGTATCTTTGAGTCGGCCCATGGAGAGGCAGCAAGCAGACGTGACAGATGTAGCTCGCTACCGATGTACAGAGCGAATGAACTTCGCCCTCTGCGAATCACGCAGAGGGCCGTTGTGCAAGATGGCTGTGGCAGTGCGCATGAAACGTTGCTGTCCAAGAAGTGTCTATCGCCCACGGTGTGGGACGGCGGTCTGAAAATGTTCTGTCAGGTCTTTACAACCTTGCGACAGCCAACTTCTGGCCAGGATCTTGAGCATGATCATGGTGTTCCCAACCAGCGCAAATTTCTCGTCTGAGGTTCTCCAGAGGTGGCAACATTTTCAAGCTGGTCTTCGTTCGGTCCTCTTGGGCCGGGCTGGAGGCACCGGACCGGGAGATCCCGGTGGATAGCATGGACAAGTCTAGAGAGGTCAGAAGGCTTGTGCGTCGGATGGCACAAGTTGCCGTGCCCAGATTCGCATTGGCACTCCGCTGTAGAGTACAGATCTTGCGAGCTGGCTCGGCAATCGCCACAAACGGTGTCTCATTGCCCTTAAAGGTCTTCAGTTTAAGAAGTTTTCGAAGACGGGAGGGGTTGTGATGTCGCATCCATACAGAATTTGGCTTTAACTCAAAGGCTTGGAATGTTCATTGGACGGCCTGGTATGCAGGGGGAGGGACTACGATGGCTGAGTCCAATACATCAGCAATCCCTTCAATATCCTTCAATCATGCTGTCCATCAATGCAAGAGATTTCAACAACACAGCATTTCAGGTGCGAGAGCCGGGTGTGCTGGCCCTGATCGCTGTCTCCGGCGTCCTGTGGCAGCCGGCCCAGCGCGAAATCACATTCCAATACTCACTCCAAGGAAGATTCAATCCCTCACAGCTTCAGGGTTGGCGGCTGCCTCTACCTTGCAAAGGGCGAGCTGTTGGCCGTGGCCTTGTCTTTTGTATGTCATGGAATGTGGCGTGTGGGCGGCTTCGCAGCCAAGGAGATGGCAAGAATGATTCAGCGCTCCAACAAGATCTGGCAAGCCTGCGTTTTCGGCAAATGGAATAGCGTCCAAGTAGAGCCGATGGTGTTTTTCTCCTGACAGGTACTACACCCTGGCGCAGGACTACCTTGGTTTCTGGAATTGCTGAGCCTCAGAAAAGACAGCATCAACGCACATTGAAGGGAACATCGTATTGTTCGGAGAGATCGCTTCGTGCTCGGAGTGGGCTCATCGTTCGTCTGACGAGGCGTCGACTGGCTGGCGATCATCATGACGACTGTAATTTCCATAAGCTTTGGAGTGCGTGCAGCTGAGATTGCGTCGGTGGTCTTCGCAGTTCTCACTGCAACAGCGAGACAGCCAGGCTCCACATCTTCATCGGGGATGTCAATGGCAAGCTGGCATCTCAAACTGTGCTTTCAACTATAACTTGACCGAATGTTTGATCTGTCGTATCGGATGTGACAAAGCCAAGTCTAAACCTCCCCTGTTCGCGTCATCTTATCCTCTGTTAAGTTGTACATTGTACTAGTGTGTTTCTCGTCACCACTTTCAGTCAGATCCTGGTCCTTAGACCGTTCACGGAGTATGGCCCTCAAGCCCCTGGCCACAACTTCTTGTGTTTGACCCCACGCCGGCTCAAGAACTCCAAGTGATGCAAAACAAGGCTGGTCTGGCTCTGGTTCCTCGATCGTGTCCTTGCATGATGCAGCTTCGCTTCACCTCTCGCTTGTGCCCCAACACATCCCAAACCTGGATCATCGTCATGAGGGGAGCAGCCTGGCCAGGCGTTTAGGATAGAATCATGCTTCCAGTCAGTGGCTGTCAGGGCCCTTGTCCATGCCGCCTGGCCATGTGCCCAGGTTGGGAGCCATGGTGACGGAGGCGGGCACTATCGGGCACTCAGACTCTCCGAAATTGCTGGCGCTTCCAATTGGTCGTGGTCGTGGATTGTAGGTGGACGGCAATGGCTACCCTCCACTGGAAACCTATCGGGAGATTGCTTCAGCCCTGGAGATTTCATCACGACGGTTTCATGCACGACAAGATGTTGGTAGAGGTTGGACTTGAGGTCCCAAGGCCTCAATCTTTCGGAAGCATAAGAAAGCAATAATCTCCGATCCGGCCATGTCCAGCCTTTCGGCTGCGGTTCGCGGGTACCCTCGGAGTCACAGGGGTCTTTCAAACCCTGTGAAGAGAAGTCCTTCTTTATTCTTTCAAGAGCGCGCCAAGCCTGTGCCTTGTTTATCTGTTTTCTCTTTGCAGTTTCATTGCTGTGGTCCTAAGGCTTGAATTCCCGGCTACCGCACAGTTCAGCTTGCTCTCAGGGGTCCCAGTACAGCAGAGCATAGGAGCATTTGGCAGAGCATTGCTCATTCGCGTTGTAGCAGAGTCGACGAAACGAATTCATTGCTCATTCGCGTTGTAGCAGAGTCGACGAAACGAATTCATTGCGGTGCAGCAGGGGGAAAGCAAGGCAGGTGAAGTGCAGTTTTGTGTCCGGCGGGTCAATTGAGAGGACTTCTTCATTCCACCAGGGTCTGAAAGAGAAACTTGCTTGACAGTTTGAAAGAAACACACCCGCATGTTGGGCACGATGTGACATTCTGAGGTTGTGAAGCACGAACACATGAGCGGGGTGGCAATCACGGCGAGGGCATGCTTCTAGGTAGAAAGCCATCAGAGTTTGCTAGACAGGAGTCGAGTATCACTGGGCTTTTCCACTTCAGGGCGAAGCCGTGACGGTCAGAAGCCAAACTAACTTTACTCGATTCGGTCCAGCTGGGCAGACAATTTTCCCACTGACGTTCGCTGCGCCATGGGGCAAGCGATCGTCACGTACCGGTTTTACACTTACGGCCGTCAGCACTTTACGCAGACTGGGTGGACGCCTCCTCATTTGCCCGTTGTTTGTGATTAGCTGTGATACTGAAGTCGATGCTGACCTGCCGAGACCGCAGCAAAGGAAAGCACACTCTGCATCCTACGGACATGGTCAAGATCTGCAGTCCTTCAACCTGCGAGGGAAAGTGTCAGTGGTGACTGGTGCCAATTCAGGCGGGCTCCTGACACTGATGTGAGTTGCTTGCAGAAAAAGCAAAGATGTATGGCCGGTGGCCGCACAAGACAGTGCCACAGCGCCACGCAGTCACCGTGAGCTGCTCTAAGAAATGCTTGAGTCAACTGCGTCAGTCCTACATTCTGAAGCATCATCTGGCCTGGAGGAATTGGACGCGAAATCGCAGAATTCCTGGTAGCCCGTGGAAGCAGGGTGTACATGGCTGCTTACTTGCACGAGCAGGGAAGGTCCCGTGTAGTCTCCGCATGCCTCTGCCGACCGTTGGTATGAAGCTTAGACAAGACGTGCGGAGCGTCCCAAGGTCTGCCGAAATGCTGAGCGAGGCCAGCAGGCCAAGGATGAAATCGTTCAGAAGACCCGCAGCCCCTTGGATTGAAGCTGCAGAGTCAAAACCCATCAGATCCTTCGGAGTCCGAGGTGAAGATGTGCATCTTTTGGTGGCAGATTGCGGTCTTGCCTCCGATGTGCGCCGAGTAGCGGCCGAGCTTTGCGAGAAGGCCCGACACCTTCTGCGGGTAAAGTCACTTGTTGCAGGACTGTGTCTAGGCTGTGTTTTGGACCATCCCACGGAACACCACGGAACACTCTTGGATTTTGAGTGCGTCCCTGCCCAGTTTCCGATACCCCGTCCGACAAACCCCAACGGTCGTGCACAACTGAACTCGACAGTAGCTATAGGAAGCGAGTTTCTTGTTCTGCATGGGGTCTCTGTTTTTGCTGCACAGAACCTTCACGCAAGTCTCATTTGGCCCCGAGGCCTTGGAAACATGGCATTGCCTTTTACAATCTAGATCCGACGCTTCGGAACAGCTCCGTTTTGCTTGGCTTTCTGACTCGAAGGCTTCCCTGGTCCAGCCATATTCCAGACAGCCGTGCGGAGTCAAGAAAACCAATCCCCGCCCCCCCCCCCCGGGAACCCCTCCTCCCCCCCTCGCTGGCTCCGCTCCTTCACGCCCCCTGACTGGATTTTTCAGGAGGCCGCTGGGATTGACTGCTTGGTTTGCAACGCGGGTGCCATGACCCAGAAGAAGACGCTCACCGCAGAAGGGCACGAGGTGGGGTGCAGGACACAGCAAGTCTTGGGAAGAGTCAACCTCGCCCTGGAGGTCACGTTTGCTACACACCTCCTACATGGCACGTACCTTCTGACAGAACAGTTGAGACCTGTTCTGGGCCGGAAGGCTGCCTCCGTGGTGCATTGGCACTTTAGCCTATATGCACATAAAACGCAGAGAAGTCACAGATGCTTGCATGTGCAGGAGGGTGCGCGGGTGGTGGTGGTCAGCTCTGGTGGTGTCCCACACGGCAGAGTCAGAGGCTGTTTTTGTGTGTGTACAAGGTGTAGGAAGTTTCTTCTCCAGGTCTGGTTGTGAAGAAATGTTCATGTATTTGAGGTATGCTGAACGTGAAGTACAATCACAATCTGGCCACTGGCAAGAAAGGGTCTTACGACCGCCAGATGGCTTATGCATATGCAAAGCGGGGACAGGCAGCCCGGCATGCCCGGCAGAGTCTTCCGTGCAGTTCTCTGATTTGCGCTTTCGTAGCGCCCTGACTCCGGCCCCCTTGGAGGTGCTGCTGTGCGAGCACTGGGCAAAACAGCCTGGGGAAGCTTGGGACTGCAGAAATAGCAATCATCTCCTTGGCTCGCAGACACTGCAGATTACTTGCAGAATCTTGTTTTTAGCTGTGTGTAAAAGCGATTGCACTCGAACTGTTAGTCCATTGAGCTTCCCTTTGAGGAGCAAATTGTCTTTGCAAGCTGTCACCCTGGATGGACGGATACTCCAGGTTCGGAACTCGGCAACATGAACATGGCAATACAATGTGGAACTGACAACTTCAGAGCTGTCGTGAACCCGAAGCATACCAAAGCCTACAGAGACCTAGCCATGATTATTGACGGGTGTCTAGGTCTCCCAAATCCTTAGGTGTCGACCACGCCTACGGCTCCATGAAAAAATGGCTGGAGCCCATGCGGACCAACTGGGAAGGCGCTGAAGGCATCTGCTGGCTCTGCGTCGCTCCAAGGGAGCAGACACCGAGCTGCAGTGATGGAGTAATGGATTGTAGGATCTGTGAATTCGGGCGTGGGGTTCTCGACTGAGGATCGAATCCGGTGCTTTCTATCTGGACCGGAAGCCGCAGGCCAAGACCATCGCATCATGGACGCCTTTCGCTTACCAGACAACAGTCGTGGTTTGCCTTGCATCTCCTGCTGGCCCCTGCTCTCCCGTATTGCTCAGGTCCAACACAGAGAAGGATGTGGACGACATGGTGTGCTGCTGAATAGTAAATACTAGTATAAGTACTTCTTAATCATCCACATTCAACCTTGGCGGTGCAGTCGCACACTGATTATCCAAGTTTTTCAGACTAAACTCATGACTGAAACTGACTGAAACCATATGACTAAACTCTATGATGCAAGGTGGCTGCGTTCCAGTCCCTGGCCCCAGCAAGTGGCGGCATTGAGTGATCGTTGGGATCCGGTAAACACTGCCTCGTGTTTTTTCACCAAAGCGCTCCAGTGACTCGCCTTGCACATCTAGGTGCAGCATGGCAGCTAATGCGTTTCACCGGCCCACACACTCCTAATTTTCGGATCTTCGCTGACCGCTTGCACCGCAGATATCTCAGGGCAGGATTAGTCACAAAGCTCTTTTGCAATGCTCCTCGACCCAGTCCTGATTGGAAGAGCAACTACTCGTTTTTCAACTCTCAGGCAGTAATTATAAGCAGCAAAACCAGCGCAAGCAATGGTCTGCAGCATTCCCATCCAAATTTGGTGCACACTTCACCCTTGGAGGAGCCAGTGCAACATGCTCGGATCAGCGACCAGCTGTTAAATCCGATTGCACATCCTTCTTGCGAGTCCGCTGCACACTGTGATCGCTTGCGTGAAAAGTGTGAGTCCTGGTTCACCACGACATTTTCGGCACAACATGGCACAATTGCACAACTGTTCATGCTCGACTGGAAAGTAACGTAGACGTAGTCCGACAGATCACTTCGACAAGGTGTCCGACTTTGCGGATGCTATTGTGGCGATGCTTGACGCGGACGGGCTGATGTCACTCCAGCATCTGAATCTGCTTTACTTTCTAAACTAGACTTGACTCATGCAGGAGCGCAACCTCAGACTTTGGCTCTGTATCTACCCTGTCGTGCCACTCCGAGACAAACGTGAATCTGTTTGCGGTATGGTGTACTGCACTCCTCAAGTCCGCTGCAAGATCAGGTACTGCTGATGCGGTTGTTCAAGTCTTGCTCCCGGCTCGCTTGCACTCGGGCCCTACAATCACTGCGCCCTGACGTTCATCGTGGTTAGCTGCCAGTGTGACCCTTGTAGCGAAGAACACTGGCAATGAACAACAGTGCAGCCAATGAGAGGAAACGGTGCAAGTCTCTGATAACAGAAAGCAGTCGTCACTGTCGTCAGTCAGTGTCACACAGCCGTCATGTATGATGGACGATCGCTGACCTGTTTCACCTCAGCTGCAGGTCTTTTGCCGCTCAGAAGCGCCTGGCCATTGCAACTTGACTGAAAAGCACTGCGCACCAGTCATGCCGTAACATCTTGACACTTAGTCTCCATCGACCCGACTGTTCAAATTTTCGCAGGCTCAATGCAAGCAGGAATGATTCGGATGTGTGTGTGTGTGTATATATTTATTCGTTTATATAACCATACACATGTCTATGTGTGTCTCGCTGCCTGGGTGTGTGTTTATGTCAAGTTTTCATGATTTCACCGCCTTTCTGAACAGCTTGTGAGTCCAACATTTCTCTCACATGTCTCTGGCAGGGGGCTCTGGGAGCCTAACTGGGACCAGAGCCAACGAAAACGCCCAGTTTCATTCAGGCTGTGAAGCAGAGTTGGACACATCCTTGTGTAACCTTTAAAACGGGCCCCTACGCCAAGATCAGCTAGCCGCCCTTGTGCGAGTGGATCAGGTAGCAGTTTTGTCACGACGAACACGGTTGCCGAAATCTCAGAGCTAGATTAGTCACGCTGAACACTTTGTTCCCAGATTGAAGGATTATTTTTGGCTTATGGTTGCTGTTGCCGAAGCTGTTCTTCAACTCTGATGAGCATCGTCCAATCCTTCTACGTCGACCTCCTCAGCTACGCGAAACTAAAAGCTCAACTTCCAGAAGCACGACCATTATGATGGGGACGACGACAACTCCCACCACCTCGGCTGCAGCTGCTTGTGCTGACTACCACCACTACCGGGTCTCTACCGCCACTGCCAATGCTGCTCCTCCTGCTCCGACTACTTCGACGACTATTACTATACGACTACTGCGACGACTACTACGACTACTACGGCTACGACTGCTACACTGGGAAAAAAAACAACAACAACAACAACTACTACTACTACTACTACTACTACGACTACGACTACGACTACGACTACTACTACTACTACTTCTGCTTTAGCTCCTACTTCTACTTCTACTTCTAGTGCTGCTGCTGCTGCTACTACTACTACTACTACTACTACTAGTACTACTACCACTACCGCCGACACCGCCACCCGCCACCACGACTGCGACTAGTACCACCATTACGGTCACCATGAACATCATTGCAATCATCGGCGCTGTCGCCGTCCCCACCAATGTCGTCATCGCTATCACCGCAAGGGGTCCGATGATGTCTGATCATGGCTGCAATGGTTCAGGGAAGCATGTCGTATCAACATCATGGCGGGTAATTCTATGGTGATAGGGCTAGCTGGCCTCGGGCCAGGTGACGGACACCTTTAGGATGGCCTACAACGACTTGATGCACTTTTTCATTGTCTTCGCATCCGTGTACTTCTGTATGACGGTGCGGGCGCCTGCGCAGCTTGGGATTCGGAGCATTTCGTTCAAAGATTATGTTCAGCATTCAGGTTTCAGGATTAATAGTTGAGATTCTAGCAGACATTCAGATGTCGGACAAGTGGCACCCAGGTCTCCTGCTTAAAGAACAAGACTAAATGCCTAGGCTTTTTCAGATTCGTGTGTCGTTTCACCGTCTAGACTTGCAACTTGCATCGCACCTTCGGAGGGATAGGCACCTCACAAAAAGCTTGACAGTGATTAACGACCCTTGTGGTACGACTAGCGACTGTTTCTTGCTGATAATGACGACTACTGAATAGTACCAAAGTGCAGTGTTAGTTAGATTTGATAAACAATTCCCCCCTGTACTAGCAGGCGCAGGTCGAATCCGCTTCTTAGTTCTGGGGCAGGTCAATGCCGTCATTTTCTTCGGTCAGGACTTTGCACACAGCATGTGACTTTAGGCTTCAGGCTCGTGCTGCATGGCAACATCGGCAGCGGCAGTGATATGACTTGCCTGTGTTCTATTTGTTTGTGCATGGATGCCCGTCCGCGGTGTTCTGCAAAGTCCTTTGCTAGCAGGACATCTTGGACTTTGCTACTATAGATCGGGCACTGCATGCGCCAGCAACTGAGTGCCATAGCTCTGGCTGGGAGACATGCTTTCTCTGCGAATTTCCTGAACTTCGAACATTCGAAGGTGCTTTCGGGCCATGCTGGGTGACTGGGACTGGGACGAGCCTCGAGCCAAGAATGCCGAAGCCAGCGACCATGCATGTGTCTGAAAGCTTTTAATCTGGGCCAGTTTCCGCTTAGTCTCGCTGAGTAGGATTGCTTCCCTCAACTTGCCTTGGCACGACTGATCACAACTGTGTAAGCGGAATAAGGATGGGAAAGATCGGAATTCACAGAGCCTTCGCATGGACCCTGCCTTAGCAGTACTTTGTAGGAAAGCGCGAATCAGCATAGAAGTAAAGTTGGACAGAGCCGCGCATTAGGTTCTTCTTCTTCATGGTGGTGATGGTCATGATTCTGTGCCCTGGCCTGTTTCCGAATCAGCAGAATCAGCGAAGGTTCATCTTTGCAGCGGCATTTGTTCACAGCTCTTCGGACGGTGTGCCTAAGGATGAATATGCTGGTCGCAATTCTGATGGAGCGCTGGGCTTAGCTTCAAGCACGAGCTGTGGAATGCTTGCCGGTGATTGAACAAGCATAGGATGTTGCAGTCGGGTGCTGTTCTGCCGCGCAACGCTCTCTTCGGCATTCAGACGGACCATGCTTTTGCAAGGGCCTATGGTGTAGTCAAAGAAGATGCCAAGCACGCGGACTCTCTGTTGGAGCAGGCCGTGACAAGTTCAAGGTGTCTGCTACATGTACGGTCTGGTGTAAATGCAGTCGCTGATCGCATTTGCTTCCAATTTGCACACAGAGGGTGATCGAAATTGACTGTGCTGGCAGACCAAGAATATCCTTCGGCGTGCACGTCAAAACAAGCGGAAAGAACGAGTGCCCCATCCTCGGGTACAAGACGTTGCTTGCTTCGGCAGCATTTGCAGAAGTGGTGGAAGTGTTTGACATTTGACCAGCAGCGATCGGTTGCCTGAATGAGAGCCATCGCATGGTGACTCATTTGGCCAGGAACCTCAGTTCCATTTGGGATGCACTGCGCAAGGAGAATCCTACGGCCAGATGCTCCGCTTTTGCATGCACGCAGCAGGCTGGGAGTTGTAAAGAGAAGATCTGCAGGAGCACAACAACGACGAAGATGCTTTGCTAAGTGCTCAGCTCAGCTCGAAGCCGTCGACTGTTTTCGACCTGGAATTGTTGTCCAGCTTCTTTGATCTTCGATTCTGCAAAGCTGAATGAGATCAGAGGCAGCGAGCGGAAGATTACTCCGAGGCAGAATATTTTTGTCGTTGCCTGCAATCATTATGTTCTTCCGGCGCTTTCGGCCATAGGGCCTGTCCCCGCTGCAGTCTGCCACTGCGACGTGATAACTAGCAGAAAATGCACTGCTGGCAGTCTTCTGCGGGACATCGTGGAGGGCATCCCTGCCTCACAAGCGCTGCGCACTTTGAAGAACTCCCAAATCGACTACGACAAGACGGGCCCATGTTCTGAGTGCCGTGCAAGTGCTTAAAGAAGCGCTCGCCCACCCCGCTGTCCCGCCGCGACGCTCTGGTGCCTCGCAGGAAGGTGGATCCTGCCTTCGAGCTCCAGGACTTCAAGGCCATCGGCCATGGGCCGATGAGAGATGAGAATAGAGAAGAAACTGAGAAAAGGAAGATGCGAGGGATGCGCTGCAGCGGAGCAGATGTGTGAAGTAAAGTGTCACTGGTGTCATCTCGGATGCCTGTACTGCGACTCACTGCGTGCTCTTACGGGGACTGCTGTGTGCAGGTGGGCCTGACCAACATGGTGACTCGCCTCGATTACTCGGCAGGGCCCTCAGCTTAGCATTGTCGCGGCTTTTGGAACCTTCGCAGGAGTGTTGGAGCTTAGGCCCTGTGTGCCACCTACCTGAGCGAAAAGATTAGGCAATACCAGGACTGCTGACTCTTCCCGAAAAGACATCGGGGCGTCCCTGCATGAGAGGACCTTGCCAAAGCGGAGGGCCGCGACACGGGTGGATTTGACAAAGCACTAACAACTCTAAGCGTGAGCCCTAACATTACGGGTCATCGAACACCTCTCCAAATCACGTTCTGTATCCGGCCCCAGATGTCCAAGGCCTTCCTCTTGGCGAGCTGGAGGTTGGCTTCTAGTGATTCTTCTGATTCTAAGGTGCTCTGCGTCGTGAGTTTCTGTGTGCGAAGGGTGCCCAGCCGACGGATGTCGAGACATATGAGAACAGCGCAGAGCAGGCAACGAAAAAAGAGTCAGTGTCCGACTAAACCGCGTTCGAACGACTGAGTCTTCAGGCCCTTGAAAAAGTCAAGGCCTTGGCCCGGGACCACTCCACGGTGCAGCACTCGGCATAAAGTGTGGTTGATTCACGTGATGTTTTTCTGTGAATATCTGAGAATCCAAAGCCTCGCGTGCGAGGAGATGGCTGATGGCATTGCCGCAATCTTGGGGGAGGAGATGCAGGACAGTGCTCAGATGTTCAAGCCACGCGCCAACATGTGAAGATGAAGCCTTTGGCATCCTGTGGTATTTGGGAAACAGGTTTAACTTAATCATCAGATTTTGCCAACACAGGAGCTGGAGAAAAGACAGTACAACCAGCGAAAAGCAATCAACACCACGTGCGAGCAGCTCCAGAGACTTCGGGTGCGGGCCTGAGGACTAGCAAAAGGCCAAGGCATCAGAGTCAGAAACATCCAAGATCCAGCCCTGGTCAGCCAGGACATGGTCCATCACCTCAGTAGCACCTGTGCCGACATCTCCAACCTCACAGCGCAGTTGGGATCTTCCGCCGGGCCAGCAGCAGCCGAGCCTGCATTTCCTCGACGCTGTGTTCACACCAGTTCCGACGCTGATGTCATCTGTTTCTTACTTCGCTAAGGTGCGAGGAGAAGCCTCTGCTCCGCGAGTGATTCTGGATAGAGCATGAGACAGAACAGCTACGCTAGGAACCGCCCGTTACATGCTGTAGACACGGATTAGCGGCCCTTGTCAAAGTCACAGCGCCGTCGATACATCGACGATAAGGCAAGTGGGCTGCAGCGAGCAGCCTGTCACGATGTTGTGCAGCTGTCCAATGATGGCAGCGGCAGTTAACGAACGTCAGGAATTTAGACTGCAGCCACGTTTGCCTGAATCGACCTGCTCGCAATGTAAAGCAGTCTTCCCAGTCGGATGGCCATCATTCTTGCACTTCCGCTTTGCCGAAGGCTTGTGGCTTTGAAGCCCTGGGGCTCGGGATGCCAAGGCCAAGCCATGGCACACACAGGGATTCTGAAGAGGCTGTTAAGTGATAAGGGCTATTGCTTTATCCACAGCGAGTCTGAGCAGGCAGGAAGACTCAGAGTTCAAGACGCCTCTCAGGACGTTCTTCGGGCCAGACCTTGTGCATCACGACAACACCCTACTTATGCAAGCGTCGGAGGGACGTCTCTTCAAAAAGCCCGCCGACATGTTCTTCACCGGTTGGCACCAGGAACTCAAGGCGATGCCGTGCCTATCTTTTGCAGACTTGGAAGGACCAGTGCCCAACTGTCAAACGTTGCGGTGATGCCTCTTGCGACTCGGCTGGTGCCAGCAATCTCGCTTGAAGAAGCTTTGACGGACCCGCACACTGTAGTCAAAGTGGATGTTGAAGGATCCGAGTTTCAGCTTTTGTCCAAGCCTCGAAACTGGAAGAACACCTGTCTCCTCATTTTTGAATTCGGCCGGCCGAAGCCGACACTTTGTCCTGCTGGCCTTCGCGGGAGTTCCGGATGCCCTGCGAGCTGGCAATTTACCCACCTTCACCTGGAAGCAGAAATGTCGCGACGCAAAACTCTGGACACGGGAAAAGAACTTGGCGGCGAACCTGGACTTCATGGCGTTCGTTCGCATACCGAAGAATTCCTGGTATCGATCACACCCTCCTCAGTTTCTGTGCTTCACCACCCAAGAAGGAGTGCCTTCGCCTCCTTCGCGACCTCGAGGACCAAAGCCTGTCCGAAC